TGTCCTCTGGACAAACAAGGCCAAAGTGGAGACATTTGGCTATAATGCACAATACCACACAAACACAGCACATCAGCAAAAAACACCTCACACCAACTGTAAAACGTGGTGGTAGCGGTGTGGTGATTTGGCTGATTTCAGCCACAGGACCTGGATACCTCACAGTTACGGAGTCAACCACAAACTCCTCTTATTACAAAAATATTCTAGAGTCAGCTTGATGTTAAATGTGAAGCCATTTGTCTGACAGCTAAAGCCGTGGTCTACATTGGGTAAAGCAATGTACAGAATGGCTGAAAAAGAAACAAAAATGCTGAGGTAGTACTTATGAGTGTAGAGGTGTGCAGACATACAGTGCCTGAATGCCTGCACATCTCAGTGGACTAAAGAATTCCTCTAAAAACAACATGAGAGACACTGACCTCTTCAATTTATTGCCGTTAAATATGATTGTACAAGCTAATGAATCATGTACTTAGTGTACACACTAAGTACATTTGTTACTATTATTATTGTTGTTGTTGTTGTTATGTCCTGATATACAAACATAGAACTGAAAAAGGGCGTACTTTCTTTTTCACATAGCTATATACTGTGTGTTATATTTGTGTTATACTGCCGTATAACACAAAGCAACATTTAAATTTGGTATCAATTGTGTATATAAAATAATACGTAATGGTCAAAGTATAAACACAAAAGAACAACAAATTATGCCGACAGATATATTACTATTTTTTCACAGCTTGGTAACAGTGTATCAGATTAAGACTGTAGTTGTGAATTGAATTCCCAAATATTCATTTAAGAACTTATTCAAACGTCTTGTTTTACAGGGCCCGTAAAATAATAGGAAATGAATCACTTAAACTAATTTCAAGTTCCTGAAATACATAGTCTTTTGTAAAGTATCTTCTTTCTTCATGTTGTATTGTGTTGTTGAGTCCATTTAAGCTCAAACCTTCACTGCTGTTGCTGGAGCAGTGACGTTGACCCACCCACAAAGACAACATGGGGATAATGATCATTTGAGATTTCTGATGTGTTCCACCAAGCCTCAATATATTACCTGTTTGTTACATTTCATCAGGCTCAGTTAGTGTCTGGATATCCTAAATAAGTCAAGTGTTAGTTGTTTCCCCTTTATTTGGTATTCCAACTCTGTAACATGCAACTTCTGTCGGTGCTGTGCTACTGGAAACTGAATTTCCCGGAGGAACCCACCCGAGGGATTAATAAAGTTTCATCTAATCTCTAATCTGCTACTGTTTATGTAAATTATGCAGTTATGCAAAAATGATGTGCACATTTTAAATAACATTGTTGTACATAATCTGGACAGTTACTTCTCTTTACACATTTGATATAATTTCCCTCTCTGAAGGCCACAACCAGAGTTAAGCTTTTAACTTGAACATAATGAATTTGCATGTGCGCAAACACATGAGCATATACAAATATCCAGAGAAGGTATATAAATATGAGCACTGTCATATTTATATACACTTGTTTTTACATGCACTGTCTCATTTCTTTTTTGGTGTTGGTTTTGAATCAGCTTTGGATCCTGAGAGGCCATTTTCTGTGTTGTCGATCCCTGATGAAGTTACAAGGCACTCCTTACTGCAGTTGGAGGTAAAAGAGACAGTGTTAAAGCTGTAGACACACAACAGTTCAAAGCTGAAAATCCTCAGCATGTACGTATACTGGCTGATCTAACCAACTGTGTAATCTAGTGAAAGATCATTGCTTATAAGGAAACTTACTTCTCCTCAAGCTTGGCGAGAACAAAGAGAGTGAAGTTCTTGAGCAGCATGAAGCCCATCAGCAGTGCGATGGCCCCACCCACAGCAGAAGCTATGATGATGGTCAGCGTGTTGTCCACCTCCCTCACTGCAGGCATTAGAAAATGACCAGGTAAAAACTGATGAAGGTAGCTAAACATGATGACATGTTGTTCAGGCGTTGTCTGTCTCAGGGTAACCTCCTGTTTTAGCTGATCTTGTGACTTTTGCTCCTTCTACATTTATCAGTCTTAGAATAACAAAAAAAGCTGTGAAAGGTAAATATGAAATTACATACATTTAAAAATATTTTAAATATATATAAAAAATATATGAAATGTCACCAGATTTCTTTTTCTTAACGGCACAAATATATGTTTTATTTTATGTGCGACCTGATTTATTTTGTAAGGAGGCCCGCAAGGGACATGGGAGAAAAAAAAATTAAGATGAACTTTTGCGAGATCTCACAAAACTAACTTGGGATGTAGCAAAACTTTTGCGGGATCTCGCAAAATAGACTGCATACTTCGCAGGTTGCATTTGAAGGCCGAGTCAGTGTATCCTTCGTAACCCAACCTATCCCAGAATTCATAGCGCGGCCCAGCCAATTCGTTTCCAACAAGTTTAGTTTTAATTTTACTCTTTGTTGATCACAAAAT